TCGCCAAGACGTACCCGGGAATTAGGAGAGCATTACAAAATTGGCGCTTGCCCACTATATGATAATACTGGGAAGGGATCTCTGTGTTTCCCACTCTAATGCCATCCTAGGTTTTCATAACGATTCTAGATCGGTCTTCGCAAGCAGCTAGGCCGGCCCCCAGATCGCCTATAGATACACGCTTCGGCCAGGCCAGTTCAGAGTGAGACTGACCCGGGCTTTGTAAGCCTTGCATTCACAGCCTCTGCAGGCTTCGTGGGTGCCCAGTGGCGCGGGCAGGTTTTCTGTATGTTTCGTATCGTTAGTAAAAATTTAGTTAATGCGTGTCAGATTTTAGTTAATGCATAGAAGATATCTGAAGATACCTGCCGAAATCTGGAGGTACCCGTAGCTGGCTAAAGAAACCGACAGAAATCTGTAGATATTGGCAAATAGCTGCCATTACAGTGCAATATTTGAAGCTAACTCTCACTCGCTCAGGACTGGGACACGCGGGGAGGGGTGAAAGTACATTAGGGCAAGCTCAAGGCATTGGGTGCCGGGGGTACTGGGAAATTTCATATCTGTCTGTATATTCTTAACTTGAATTGTACGGTAGATAAATCCTTAGAGTGTTAGCAATTGATTACGGAGCTGTTTTCGTCCACCACTTCATCGTCACCGTGACCTTCGGATTCTCCGGGCGGGCTTCGTCCTAATCATTCCGCGACCCAGGTTATCTCCTTTCTCGTTGTGCTGATTGTCCAGTTGAACACAACTAATTAAGCGAGAATATGAGCTTACATTCCGGGTCTACACTTAAATCTGCACCTGGGGGTCCTTCACCTCCTGACTTGCTAGTTTGAAGCTCATCCGGTGTAAAATAGGATAATGTATTATTGAAAACCGCGGCTCCATAATATAATAAATAATCCGAACCCATAAGGGATTATCGTGACGATAACGTATCACCCAATGTATAGTAGCTTTCTCGGAAAAGCTGTTGACCCGTACACTAGCCACGTATACTAGTGTTCTAGTTAATTCATGCTATTGGAACATGCCATGGAGATTTCAGGAATATTTGAAAACACATTTGATTACTCGGAAGCCTGCAGCCAGTGGTCCGGCCAGGCCAGGCTGCCGTGCAAGGCGTAAAACCTGGCTGGACTGGCCACTTGCAAACACTGTTCCTGATTTGCGGGTACGCAGTAGTTAGAGTCACTGTATGCGATGGATTCCACATGAATAGAAGATATTCTACACTTGATTTAGTTGTGGGAAACACAGGAGATGCCAACATGGAGACAGAATTGACACTCACAGTTTGAAGGGCACTCTGCAAAGGATTGAGAAGGTAAAATTGTCGGAATTGCTTCAAGGGAAACTGAGAAGCAATCCTACTCAGTGTTCCCAACGGGCTAGGTAGGCTAGGCTGAACTGAAGCTGGGCTCAGCCTGCCACGACTATGGGGGATTTAGCCCGGCCGGAGCCTGCAGGTTTTGAAAAACCTGGGCCTGGCCTCGCCAGGCCCAGCTATAGGCTGTATAGGCTAAGTACTTGCCACCTGATAGGCCGGCTCGGCCTATATGGCCTAGCCAAGCCGGGCCTAGCCTATGAATACGGGTCTACAATCGCTTCAGATCTTTGGTCTCCATTCGGCGCATCTTTCATGCTACTAAACTAGTCCGAGTTACCCCCGCGGGAACCGCAAGCTATATAGCCCCTACTCAAACCCCACGTGTTGGTGTTAATACTCGAGTAGAATGGAACAAGTATCAGTAAGAGCACTAATAGTATTAGGCACTGATCCTATGTGTGGGTAGTGATATGGATTTACTCGTGGTTGATGAAAACCCCCGAGGTCTGGTAGTACTAGGTGGACTATAGCCGGCATATTCACTGAAGGATTTAATAGAATTCCTGCGGAAGAAACTAAATCGGAAAGAAGGATTGTGAGATAGGACTGCGTTGGAGAATCTGAAGGTAGATGGCTTAGACTTTGTTGAGTTGGCTGTGGACCGGTAATCGCAAAGTTATCATGCTTCAATCAACCGCTGAGTATAAGATAAAATAATAAACCACAATGAAAGTTGTAAGGAATAAAGCCATTCTTAAAACAATCAGCTCTGGAAATCCCACTTGCAGGCTTGTAGGCTCTTACTAGGCTTTATAGGCTTCTGCAGGCCCGTTGGGTTCGGTCTATATCCACCTAGGCTCATCATCAGAGCGGCCTGCCTTGGCCCAGCCTACAGCCTATAGGCCGGCCTACCAGTGGCCTAGCCCGTTGGGAGCACTGATCTTACTTGCCGTAGACTGACTTCCTTCGGCTGCTGTGCGTCTACATCATCTTACGTGTAGGTGGGCGTTTTGTCGCGGGACTGCAGGGTCTTGTGAGCGGGCGTGCAAATGTTGCGGTGGTATCATATCTAGCATAAAATAAGCTTGGCTGTTCACACCACTTAAGCCACCCAAATACTCTGATCAGAATTTTGTTCAAGGTCCGCCCCCTCTACAGGTGTTCACTGCGATAGTGGAGATTTTCCTCACTTAGTCTTAGTGTTTCCAACGGGCCGGGGGACTGCCAAGTGCTCTGGACGGGACGGGACCGCTGTGTGCGTTCCGCTGGGGGGGTGAAAATGCAGGACGGGCGTCTTTGGGTAGGACGGCGGGCCTTACAGAGTTAAACAGTGGTTAAAGGGACGGTGGGGGACCTCTAGAAACTGTGGAGGGCTACAGTGGATTACCGTGGGCCGCTGGGGACCGCCGGGAGACTGCCGAGGACAACACATTATACCACAAACAACCTCAGGGGTGGTTAAAAAATTGGGGTTGACAAGGTCCTTTGGTTCACGAGATTTTGGGCTTTAAGGCGGTATCATAGTCCTCAGTAGTCCGTCCGGTCCTACCAGTCCCGGGGGTAGTCGGTCCTAGCACTCCCCTGAAAGACGGACTGCAGGCTATTATCCACCACGTCCCACCCCAATGACGGACTGGACGATTGGGAACATTGCTTAGTGTAGCTAATAGGGATTTTAGAGGGCTTGAAATTGGTCGGTTCGTGAGCGGTTAGGCTAGCTATATCTGCTATGGGATATGGAGAATAGGGTACCAGTGGTGGGATGGGAGGAAGGGAGAAACTTTGAGCTCTAGCTAGGGAAGCCATAGTTCGGTTCGTACGATAAATCCTTAAATTGCTTTCTGCTTGGCCTTGGATGGTTTAATAGTTCGAGGGGTATCATTAAAACCCGTTGCTGTCAACTGGTAATATCATACGCGGATTTTTATCTCTGGACCTTTTCCCTTCTTTCTCCTTGGACACCACCGTACTCGTGGGTAAACCGCAGTATCATATAATACAATGATTTTTTCTTTTCCTTAATGGATCGGTGACTAGCATTTAGGGGGTACTGGTATGTGAGGTTGTATCATATGGGGGAGAACATATTACCATAAAGCTGGTAGGTTTACATGAAATATAGCATTAAAAAAGGCCGAACAGAAATACCATGGTATTTTACTGTAGCGGTATAGTATTATACTTGTATCCGGTGGGAAGGTTTGGTGGCTTCACTGCTTCTGGTATGGTGTGTCGACTGGGATTCTGCTTGGCAGTTCCCAGCGGGCCGGGCCGTTCTGGTTGCTAGACTTCCATCTCAAACTGGACGTGGTTGTTTAGCGAAGTCTGGGGGTCTTGGGGAAGGGTGAGAGCCGTAAGCTCAGGCAGCGACCTCACTTTCCTAAGGCAGTACGGTGTGGTACTGGCACTGCGCACAACGCGCACCGCCGGTAGTGGTGTGATATATGGAGTGTTGGGGTTAAAATCTTGGCGCTGGTTAGGCTACCAATTCTCTTGGCGGCTTCAGCACCTGACACTTACGTCCACCCCAGTTTTTCTTTTTTTCAGACAAAGGCACTCCTCGAATTCCCTCTCTCCTGATCGCCCCTCCTGCTCGCTCGTGCACTGGTTTGCCTTGCAGAAGCTGAGGTTTTCTTTGCGGATCTCTGGGGATCCCAGTATCTGTGCATGTGGTCTTTCTTTTCTCCTTCTCCCGGCTCGGGACCCGCCACATCGCATTCGTGACGGAGCCTATACCGCTGCGCAATTGGTCATCCAAGCACATCCGTCATGACCTCCCTCCATCAATTTACCAAATTTCGTCCTGGTGTCTGAAAGAGTACTGAAATTCAACCTGTGTCAGAATGCTACAGTACAGGAGTATTGCCTTGTTAGGACAGACCGGTACACGAAGCTTTAGAACTATTGGGGGGGGGGGGTCGGAGGTTTGTTTATGCTGCTTTACCTGGCTAATCCCGTGAGAGGTGGAAAAGTCAAATTTCAAGCTAGGGCCTGGTCGGGTCTGCGGTGTATTTCTTCTATAACTTAGGATGGACTGAAACTCAGCCTTTTCCCGGTCAGCCCACGCCCCTTATCCGGAGGCGGGAGCTCCAGGGGTTTTAGCATGAGGTTCAGTTATGCCAATCCTTATGGGCAGCGAGTCATTCCTAGTGGTATCTGTGGTGGGTATCGGGATATCCGGGGATTTTCGTTCTACCTGTTTTTGTTCAGATACTTTTGAATAACTACAGTGCAATACGAGGTATAGAAGCAGTTTGGCCGGCAGAGAAGTATACAGTACTCAATAATAAATCCCCGTGTCCCATAGCTTTTTAATGGATAAAAATATCTTCGCCCCCTTCCCCGCTGCCCCTCCCACTCGCTCTCCCTAGTATTATCAGATTTTATCACCGCCGGATTACCCCATTTGTCGATGCTCCGATATGCATTGTGCCGTTATCGTGCAAAACTTAATTTATCCTATCACCGCTTCAGCCACTGGCGCATATTATTCATACGTATTTCCGCTCACCCTACCATGCATATTCCTGTCCTCCTACATTCTGTCATTTGTCCTTTTTTTCAGATGCTCCCCCACCCGGGCCGCTATATGGTGGGGGTTGAGTATCAGAAGTACCGGAGGGCTCGCCATTGTTTTCAGCACTAATTTGAAGTAGAGGTCAGCATAGGCAATGAGAGATTGTCCAGAAGAGATAGATACTCGCCCATGGATTCTTTCACTTAATGCATCCAATGCCCTTAACTGGCTTGGATCCTGTACCCGGTTCGCCCTGTAATCGTTGTGGCTCAGGGCCCGGCCCTGGAAGAGTTGCAGTGCACTGATCGCTGTCCCGGTCCTTCCATCTCCGTACCCGCAGTACACCAGCGTCGTCTTACCTGTGTCGTAGGAATTACGGATCTGATCGAACTGCTCCTGAGTCGGCGCGGTAGCCTCGGAAATCTTGATTTGCAAATACGCGATATTGGCAGCACGAAACCTACCCCTCTGGCGCTGGGGTAGCTCTGAAGAGTTCAAACTGATTATGTTCCGTATACCGTGGCTGACCAGGAACTCGATTGAGTTCTCGTTAATCATCTGATCGGAATCCTCGCCGTCGTAGAATGGTGCAGACGAGCGTGCGAGGCGATGAGGGATCACCCATTCGAATCGTCTGAACACTGTATCCTTAAGCTGGTGCAACCCCAACTGGTGCGTTTGTCCCCCGATCTTTAGGTACCGGGAAAAACTCTTGTTGTCGATACGCTGAACGGGGTGGAGCCTATTACTGCTCGAGTTGATCATCATTAACGAGTATCCGCCCAGGCTAAGGCGGTTGAAAGTAAGGCACTCCCAACCCCTTTGATCGGTCGCTTTGCATCCAAATTGATCGTATTGGCCCGTCCGGCCTAGCAGGCGCCATGTTGCGGAATTTCGCATGCCAAACCGACGCTCTGGGTTCATTTCGCAAATCCATATTTGGCTCCCCTTGCCCTCCTGGTATTCCCTGAGACGGACGTCCTGTCCTTCTGCTGTGAACACTTCGTTCGTACCATACATGCTGATCACATATTTAGAACCGACGTTTAGTACGTCGTTACCGCTTCCAGGGGGGAACATGATGCACAGGTGTTGGAGTTAGGTGTTAAGAGAGGAATGTGGTGTTACTTCGTATGTGGGGTTACTTGGTGTATGGGAGGGTTATCCTAGTGTTGACTGTAGGCTTTGAAGAATGAATGGAGGTTTCCCCCCCGCTTTGGGAGCAGTGGGGTTCTTATATAGTCAGGAACCACATCTGTGGGCCGCAGTTATGATTGGGCCTCGGGGCTGTTCGCTTGAGGGGGCGTATCATAGTGGGTCGTGTGATTTATTACGCGGCTGGCTGCGGGGTGTGAAAAAAGGGTTTGCCGAAGGGTTGGGTAGTGTCCAATCCTTGCAGCATTGACCCATTGCAAACGCCAACCTTGTGTGATCGAGGTGGAGTTGGGCGACCACAAATTGTGGTGATCACCGTGCCAATAGGTGGGCTCCCCAATTTGCGGGTCATGTGATTATGTATCGCAGAAAATAATGGGTAGCATAGGGGGCTAATCAGGCGCTTGTGAGGAAGATTTGGTGAGCTCCCCGGCAGGTGGTGACTGATTAAAAGTGGTAGGAATTTCGTAAGGGGGGCTTCGAAAGTTGACGCCGATAATGGAAACAAAACATTTTAATGGCTAGATTCCCGGTGAAAGTAGCACAGGCACCTGAGGGTTTGAAAGGTCATGTGCAGAGGGGGATTTTGTGCCCCCCCTTGTGTCCTGAATATGGTTATTGAATGTTTTAGTCCGATTACTGCTACAGTCTCTGTGAGCGTCCAAACGGAACCACGCCACACGAGTATAATACCGACAGTACGGTATTGGAAGAGAGCGGGGTTAGGGATGAAAACCAACAAGGGTGTTAGAGCTCAAGATAGTGAACACCCCGGGTGGTAGGCCTAAAGGGTTTCAGAAATCTGCGCAAGCGCACTTTGGTTCCTGAATTGAAACTGCACTATGGCAAAAAAGCAAAAAAAGACTAATTCGGGATACTCGTGACCTATCCCTCGCCCTTAGTACTTCTGCCCTCATATCTCCATCTAAGTTACAAAATCACCTTAATTTCAGGTCCAGTTGCCGGAAAGGCTCTGGGTTCATACAGCAAAATCTACAATATCACGGAAATTCGGCGGAGGGTTTGCCTTGGCGAACCTCCCCCCCTCCGATCTCTTGACATCAAGACTCTCATCACAAAACTGAACTCTGCAGATGCAGCAGCCGAAACCCAGGTGCCAGAGCACCTTATTGGTGTGTCGCCAATAACCGATAACAGGCATTTCTCGCCGCAGTGCGGAATCTGGTTGATATTTCCGGATACTAACGCTTGGATTGTCTGGTACGAGTACTATATTTCCCTAATCTTCACCTTCGCTGGCCCCATGAATCTGGCCGCCCGGTTTAACCCTCGCTGCGTATCCAATATGATATCATCCCCCGATGTTAAGCGAGTTTCTTCAACCGGGATTCCTTATTTTGATATGTCTTATTGTAATCGTGATAGGTCATAGGGTAGGATATGCCTGTCGGTTAGAAGATGTACTGTAGACTATAATAGTATAGCGCTGTAGAGTTGGCGAGGTGTAGCCTTTATATTGGGCTACTTGTGGGGAAACTAGAAGCATGGTACGCCCGGGTCACCGAATGGGCAGCTGCCCTATGCCGGGGACCAAATATCGGGCTTGCTTTCCTCCTTTCTTTCTTAGAGCGGACCCACCACCCACAGAACTGCAACCTCTGAGGGGCGGCTGGAGGGGAGTGCAAGCGGGAAGGGAGGGCGCTACATTCGGAGCGCCTGAATGAGTAAGAAGCACTACAGGGAGAAGAACATTTGTGAAAAGGGGACTGTAGTAAAAAAGGAAACCTTAGATGAGCAAACGCTGGAAGTCGGGGTCTTTGGTGGGACCTGGCTGGTGTACTGTACTGTGCCGTAGTCGGTATGATAGGTTGCAGAATATTTTTGCATGTACATGTATCATACCGATTCATACAGTACAGTCGGGTAAACCGTAGTACCTATCCCTATCTCACCTATAATAGGGAGAGACAGACGGCCACAGAAAATCTGCCAATCTGCAAAGCCCCTCTATCTCGTGTTCACTTATTGCCGTCGTGTAGACAATTCTCTACAGGGGCGGTGCTTGTAGAAATCCCCAAATTCATCTCGCGGAATCCCTCTAGTGGAGTAACTCCTGTTATAACTAGGACATCAGAAGGAGACCCTGATAATTTGGTGTTGTGGTGAGCTCGTTGTTGGTCCCAATGGGGGGTCATACATAGAATCTGAAGGAGCCCTCTATTGGCTTGCAAATACCGATACTCAGCAAAGGCCGGTAACTTGCTCGGGTGGTGCGTGGTTTCTAGAGTGTAGCATCTTGCAGTAGAGTACTTGTATCATCATCAACTATCACTCAGAGTGGTTCCTCTGACTAAATAATGCGTTGCCTATTGGGGGTCAGGGGAGGGGGAAATAGCAATAAGGGCCTCAGAGAAGCCTTCAAGATGGGTGGTGTGTCCTCTGAGATGAAGCTAATGTGATTATCAGGTTTATTCGCCTTTCTAAGGCTATTCTGAAACTGAGGCACTGTACCGGACTCTAGTAGATAGTTGCTGTCCGATGTACACACCTCCCCCCACGCTACCCCTCCCTGTCCTGGAAAATTCGCCATTCCCATAGTGATAGCGTTACGGGTGACATACAAACCTTCCACCAGAACGCATAGTAGGAAGAATCTAGTTTTTAGTATCTCCGAATATCATACATACTACTTACTGCTCTTATACAGAGGTTGGACCTCGGTAGCAAGTCCTGTGATGTTACCCCGGCGCCGGTATGGTGGTACATACAAGTATGATATACTCAATGTTTCAGGGTTCCGGTGCCAAGGTTGTGGCTACACCACAACCCGCTGCTGCTCGCTGGCTCGCAGCCGGTCTTTTACCGCTCAACGATACCTTGGGCGTTGCCATAGAAACCTCATAGCTCTACATATAACACTACAGCAACATACACTGAAGGAAGCAGCCAGTGAGGTGAGAATACTTGCAGGATATTTTCTAGAACAGGGATTATTTATGTTAACATTCTCAAACTAGTTATGGTATGGAATTAAGTTGCTGTAATTATATGTTGTGTTGAGCTATGAGCTGTCTATGGCAACGCCCAAGGTATCGTTGAGCTGTAAAAGACCGCTAAGCTGTCCGGCACTCTCTTACAGTGTTCCCAACCGTCCCGGGCGTCTCGGGCAGGGTGGGTAAGGACCGCAGGGCATGGCGTCCCTCTTTGATAAAGACCGCCGTCCGAGGGGTTGACGCCCGGGCCCGGGAGTCTTAATACAAATGGCATCTTCCGGCCGTTCTCACCAGGGCCCGGCCGTCATCCGCGGGGTCATTTGCAGGTGAGACACCTACAGGGCCCGGCCGGCCATCCCGGGTAGAGTTTAGGACGGACCACAGGACGGGCGCCCGTCTAGGGTAGAGTTCTAGGAGCCGGCGCCCGTCCCGCCCGAAGTCAAGGACGGACGGACTGGACGCTTGGGAACACTGCCCTCTTGAGGGAGCCCACGGTTGCCAGCCAGCGAGCAGCCGTGGGTTGTGATGCAGCCACAACTTTGGCACGAGTAGGCAATAATGGTTGTCGGGCATGAGAATACTGTTTATTTATTTCGGAACTGATAGTTGGCATTTAGGGGGAACAAAGCGGCATTACAAAGTCAGGCCTTTTTTTTTCTACTTCGAGTAGATAACAAGGGATATGACTTTCCCATTGGTAGGCTAAGGTTTGATCAATCAGGAGTACCCGAAGCCCCCCCCTCTTACTGTTATGAGATGCTGATCGGGAAGATTCAAAAGTAGGAATGGAAATAAAGATAAGGAGTTGGTAGTTTTAGATACGGTGCTTTGTATTTTGGTTGCTTATCCTTTTTATCTACGGAAGAGAAGAATGACTTTACATAGACAAATCGAGTACCGTCCAGACCCAGTTCCGGCCCCTGTGATAAACAGAAATGATAAACACTTTTGTGCTCCTCCGGAAATCCCTCCCCCGAGTTCCAGACAACTCCGGAGTTCCGGTACCTTCACACATACCCAATACCCGAATTCCTGCTCCCGCCCCGCAAACAATTCCCGTTATAGAACATAACCCTGCGCCACTCACTCCTGCTCGTTTCTCTAGGCCGAGTATTGGTATCCGACTTTGGAAACCCTACGGCGGACCCGTAAAAAGTGTAGCTGTATGGGTAGAATTCGAGCTATTTAAGCAACGTAGGCCCTGTTTGGCACGACGCTGAATAAAAAAAACCGCCGGTTTTTATGGAAGTGTTAGTGTCTGTCAGGCCCAATTTTTTTTTTCCTTACTAGATGGTTGACTGGCATTTAGGGCATACTGGTATGTGAGATTGTATCAGATGGGAGAAGATATTACCATAAGGCTGGCTTACATGAAATGTGGCATTAGGAAGGGTCCTCAACAGAACTACCATTGCATTTTTGTACGAGGCTGGCTCCAAAATCACCTGTAGAAGTGTGTTTTGCACCCAAAGTAGCCATTTTCACAACAATATAACACTACATGTATTCAATAAATAGGGTTCGACTTTGATTATATATCTAGGAGAATTCCTTGAACTTTCTCTTCTAGGTTTTCGGAAATAAATGTCTCATTTTTTTGGAATGTCTGTTGGTTAAAGGTAAAGGTAGCAAGGGGTCTTGGCTATTTTTGTATGGGAAAAGGTAGCTTTTTGTCTATTTCTCAGCCACCATTGGGTACTTCTAGCTACCAGAATAGCGATTTCTGTTTGCTAGCCTTAAGCCTTTGTGTACGAAAATTTGACGTAGTTCTAAAGCTTGTACTGGTATGATATCTCTTATATCTTTGGTTCACATAGGGGGGGATTCAACTTAAAAACGGATACTTTTGGTGTGGTATGCTTGCCCTGGCAGTGGTTTTTGTTATGGTGCAAAGTGCCTAAAGGCGGGTCCTCCGGTGAAACGGCAATTCTGTTGTAACCGATCGGGTTTGGGCCAATAATTGCCAAGACA